TATAGCTGTTATAAGCTGTCCTCATTTTGCTCGCACATGGCTTTGGAATTCAGTCATCAAAATGCATGTGACACAGTTTCTAGGTACAGTACATAATATTTTAAATGTTATTGCATTAACAGTTGTTTATTAGACACGGTTTTTGTTTTACGGTTGCGGTTTTTGTGGCTTTTTCTTTTGTTTTACGGTTTTTTCTTTCTAAAGATCGCCGGTTTCCTACCTATAATATAAATCCTATTCCTTGATACTCCTGCTGTTGGGATTATCTTAAGTAAAGTATATGCTATAACAGGAAGGGGCGCAGAATCGCAGATCTCAGGTGCAGTACAAACTATGTACGCGTAGCAGACGCCGGCGCTCGGCTACCAAAGTAAAACTGAGTAGACACATTGCCCTCGAATCTGCGATATATGTAAAGTGTTTGAAATCAAAAATCGGGTGAAAATTAAGTCAAGCCGTAGAACTTGATTGGGACGGTGCATCCGCTAAATTCTGCCCGTCAGTAAAATTAATAAAATCAACATTTGTCCCACAATTTCATTCGGGCAACTTCATAGAAAAGACTGAAAAAGCATATGAAAGACTGTATTTGTACCGCCAGTACCGGTACTTATCAAGTAGAATGCAGTAATTAAAGCCTGTACAGTCTAGTACAGTAGTACTCACGTGTACAATGCCGCCTGCTATCATCGCCCCATGCAGTTTAACACGGGAGCATTTCCAAAGAAACAGAGTATTATACGGTATTCGCTCCGATAGTTTTATGGATTTTCTGTTGCCTGCTGACTTTTGCAATAAACCGCTTTGGCACAGTATTGCATTTGTTTTCATAAATTGATCGTTGTTTCGGTTGCTACACAATTTCTTCGAAATTCGAGTAGTTCTTCAGCCATGCCTGCAGCGTCTGTAACCAGGGATGACTCAACGGTTGGAAATGTGCCGAAGCCGTTGTCTTTTATCCGCTCTCGTTCCTGTGCGAATTTGTCAACGTGGGATCTTGCCTTTGACGATGTGATGAGAAGAGCTCTCGAGAAGAACTCGTATGCCAAGCGTTTCAGGCCCCTTTTTCGGCAACTGGCACTGCTATCCTTTGCCCGCAACCTGATGTTCTTTACCGCTGCTGCCGTCGGTTTTGTGCTAGCTATGTCTGAGGAACAGCGCGAAAGCCAGGAGCCAGAAAACAAGGAAAAGGTACGCTTTCCAGCTTCAACTATTATCTCCCAAAAAACTTTATGGATCCTTTATGTTTACTGCACATCTGCATATTTATTTAAAAAATATTTATATATGCAGATATTTTTTAACCCTAACCACCAAACTAACAAGATTTCAAGATTTGCAATTTTGCAAGTATGCATGCCGCATGCGCAAGCTGTATACTGTATAGTCACCGCGCAGTTCTAGAGTAGAGCTACAGTATCTGCAGCCGTACAGGTAATACGTAAATTGCTCTACGCTGACGAGCCGTTGCTTTACCGAGAGTAAGGAGGGGAAGTCTCTGCACATCAGCTGTTTATCGCTTTTAAGCGACCTTTTAGAAATTTAATTTCAATCACTACTAAAGTAAATTCTCTATCAATTAATAAAAGAAAGTTGCTAAAGCATGGTTTTAATCATAATTAATTTTACGGATTCAAAATCTACGGAGCCGAGCAATTACTTTGAAAAATTCCTTTAATCGCAATTTTAATCGATTCAGTAAACATCTCAGAGCAAAGGTTTCCTAATTAAGTTTTTTGGCGAGCGCTGAATAATAATACGGCAATTGTTTCCAGCCAGTCAGACGTCGTTGGCTCCTGGAGCTTCTTCCTGTCATTCAAGGATTAGGCTTTCTCTTCTCCCTGGGCGATTTAATCATGGCTGGCAAGCTGTGGCATAGCTTGCGGAAGATGCGCGGGTCATGGTTCTTGTCGGCCGTGCATCTCTGGAAGAATACACAGATATCTCTGGGCTGCTTTGAGAGTGACGATCTGAAGGTGAATCTGGATCTTTATTTCCTGTTTGCGGTACCGGCGACATGCTACATGGTGACGGTAGTGGGGATTGTCCAGTTCTGTTTTCCGGCACTTTTCTTAGCGCTCTGGCGGCATGTTCTCTATGTATTGTGGCATTATTACACCGTGGACGCGGCGGGATGCGGCTCGCTCCTGGCGACTATCCCGTGTGCCGGTTTAGCCCTGCTCGGCTTGATTATCGCTTGGCAGTGCCGGAGGATGATTATGCCGTTCCGACAATTGTTCTGGGCCGAGGTGCACGACGACAGCGGCATTGATCTGTCGAACATTTCAGGCCGATTATACTGGGTGTCCTTTCTGATTTCTGCTCGAATCTGCGACGTAATGGTGGACCTTATCGATTGGTCGGTCCTTTGGGTGAAATATGTTGTCTTTGTTCTTCTGCGCCGGAAAGAAGTCTTCTGTATCAATGACTAAAGAGTTAAGACTAACCTGCTCGAACGCCGCGATGTGCAACGATCACTATCACCGAACTGACCGTCGGCCACTTTTCTACAGATATGCAAGCGCATTTCTTTCCTGTCTGATAGTTTTATGCTCTTCTGTTTCAACAGTAATTTGTTAGCACACACCTTCCCTTAAATCGCTAATCTACAAAAGTTTACTTCTGACGTTCAAGTTTTATTGAAATACACTAACGCCAATCTCTATACCAGACCGCATGCAGTATAATGTTATTGCTATTCAGAATTGCGCCTTAGACACTTGGACACTGGTTTGCTTGTGTAGTCTGTTCTCATTTTGAGTGCATCTGGGAATGACTGCGAAATTCAGCCTTTTCAGATCAAAATCCAAGTTTTTAAGTAGTTATGTTGTATGGTATTACGTTAGCAGTTTTCATGATTATGCGAGTTTTAAGTTTTTTTCTGTCCAAAGGTGGTCGCGGGTTTCTACCTCAGTGAGTAAAATGTTTATCACAAATCCCTGACTGTTTCTTGACACTCGTACGGTTATTACCGACTGTTCTTCATCGCCGGTCTCTACATCCTCGTGTTTACGAAGCCCGATGTTTGTCATTCTACTCTGTATGGCTGCCGTCTGCATTTTACAAAACCCACGAACTAACAGCCAGTTTTAAGTGGCAACTACTACAAAATTTCACATACGTACTGTACTTGTAATCAAGAGAAGCCACGTCAATGTTCTAAACCATTCGGCACAACACCATCGCTGCAGTACCTTTATTCTGGCATCCTACGGTTTCCGAATTATGTTCAACCATTTCAAAAACAGTTTCTTTTGCGTCCTCATCCCGTACACACTTTGTTCTACTTAGTACGTATATTTTCAGGGATTTGAGTATGCTGCTCGAAAGGCAGCATAGTTATCACTTTGCTGCCGGCAATGTATAAATTTAAAACAATGTATAAACTTATAAAAAGTCATAAAGTTATGTAACAATATGATATCAATATCAGTTACATACACATGTCATACGTGTACTGTGGTAACTACTGCTTTCATATAATATGTCTTTTCTGTCCAAAAGGAAAGGAAAAAGTTGCTGGAGGAATGGGATTCCGCCTGACTAGAATACCAATGGACACATAATTCTTATGTGCTTAATGGTTTGTCGAACCGTTATGTTGCGGTTCATTTAGGACTTCTCTCAAAAAAGTTAATCGGTTTGTTATTCGGTCTAATTATGAAGAACGTCATGCTTCGCAAATCACTTCTTTCTAGACAGACAGTATTGTTTCTAATATTGTCTCGTACAGCAAGAGCGTCCCACCAATGTACTGATTACCGAAGTACGTATAGAGTACATACTACCATCCTGGCGGCTATCCCAGCTCAAATTTAGGTACGTCACAAAGAAGATATTATTATCATATTAATTTTTTTAAAGATTTATTTAAATGCACAGAGCATTTTATAAGAAAATCTGTTCGTACAGTACGTACTATCATCTTTCGGCGGAGGTGCGTTAATTTTATCACTTTTAAGCGCACTGCGCACTCCTCCGGATTTCACGTTCCTGGTCGTTGCAATTTTATTTCGAAAGCGCATTACATAAATACAGTTGGTTGATCGTCCCTGGTTGTCCCTCATGTCGTCATTTTCCAACTTGTCTTCTGTTTCCTCGTCGTCGACTACCGGTCGCATTCATTCGACAGCAAAGGCTGCACAAGTAGGAGGTTTCGGGCAACGGAAACGATAGAAAAGACATTTAATACTTGGGAGTAGGTCATGTATTTTCCCTTGCTGATTTACTCAGTGCCTTGTTGCTGTGGTGCACCATGCGAAAAATGCTTGGACACTGGCAGTGGTCCTGCCGGCCTATGTGTGGCACGGTCCACGGAAATATGCCGGTTGCTGGGAAAGCGCCCTCATCGCATGGTAATTACACTTTACAGTGAGGCATATTGAGATTTAATATCCTGATTTCTTCTACTCTCTCTGATGTCATGTAGTGTTTGTATTGTGACATGAAGAAAATAAACTAAGAATTCTTTAAAGTTGCTTAATCAAGCCTGATTCACGTGGGTAATGGCTAACTACAAACATACTCGTATCCAAAAGGTGTTCAAACAACCGTAATATTCAAAAAAACAGCGTTTTCTTTAATGACAGGTAGAGTAGACTAAGAAAAACAAAAAAAGCGCCTGCTTCCGTTAAACTCTAAATTACGACCCATGAAGTTGTCAGTTCATTTATAGCCGGTCTAAAAAACTCCTGCGTTTGATATCGGGTATTGAATATACAGAATAACGAATAATAATTTGTCATTCACGTGACTACTGGCTAAGTGCGACAGTGCGCAACATAAGGCTAACTGTAAGTTTTGCATCAACAGATGCCGACGGCGATATTAAAATTGTAAGCACAGTACCGCTGTACGAAGAACAAGAATGAAACACATAGCTTGCCGCCTGTAGTTAACAGACGATCGGACCATTAGTCACGTCTACGAGCCAGCACAATATTTTAATAACACAACTATGCAAGACAGGTTCAGCGAGCGATAGGTATTATTTTCTAAGAAACAGAGTATGTCCTCACTCAATCAGCGAGGGTTGTTGATTTGCTCTTGGCTACTCGTATTGCAGTAAACTCTTAATTAACTATGTGGCACAGTTGCTTGCCGTTTTGTTTCTTGCTCCGGTTATTATAAAATTTCTTAGAATCCGAAGAGTTCTTAAGCCATGCCGGTATCAAAAGTGACCAAGGATGACTCCGCGATCCGAATTGTGCAGAATCCGGTGCATTTTATCCGCTCGCGCTCGTGTGGTGATTTGTCTGCGTTTAATCCTGCCTTTGACGATGTGATGAAAAAAGCGATCGAAAAGAACTCGTATGCGAAACGTTTCAAGCCCCTTATCCGACAGCTGGTACTGCTGTCTCTTGCCCGCAACTTGCTTTTATGTACAGCCCTTGCCGTTCAGTTTATACCAAGTCAAACGGATCATAAGCGTGAAAACCAAGAACATCAACATCAAAAGGAGGAAAAGGTACTCTTTACAGCTGCAAAATTAAATGATCTTTTGCGAAGTCTAGTTCGGCTGTACGACCATAGAGCATTCTCTGTTTTGACTGCATTAAATATTTTCGATGGATGTACAGTATTTACTTATGCGCCCAAATTTGAGCAATACCCGCCAGCGTCAGGATAACAATACTTTTATGCGGGGTAATCTTGCAGTTTTTTTATGTTGCAATTTCTTAGTGCATGCTATTTTTCATGATTTTTTTGTTAATAGTTGAAACGCCGGGAGACTTTGGCGCAACTCGCACAGAACTCGTATACTTCGAGACTTAACAGGAGTAACGGGTTTTACGGCTTCTTTAAATGTAGCGCTTTAGTCTAACGGTTGTTAAAACGAAAGCACAAACGGTACGCCGTACGGCTGTTGTAACTTGTGAGTACTTAACTTTTTTGTTGGTTTTAAATGTGTAAATGTATTGTTATGTTGGTGGCTACTGCCGCTAAATGCTACTGGTAAAGGTCAATTGCATTTGGGTAACCGATGCGCGTCGGGTAACGGAGGAACGCGTACAAAACTATCCATGACTCAGCTAACAACTTATCGTCCAGTCGTAAGTCGAGTACGCTTCCGTGTCAAAAAAGAAATTGAACCACGAAGTGGAACGAAAAATTTATTTTTGATGCTGTAATGTGGTAAATGTAGTAATACGTCAAAAGCGTCAAATTTTTGAGTTTAGGAGTGTGAATCTGGGTCGCTGGATGTACTTTTAATTTGGTCCAAAACACAAAACTGTTGTTGATCTGTGTTGGAGAGTTAGTTTGGGTGATGGTTTCGCTTCGACGTCGAAGCGCAACGGTTGCACGGACGAGTAAGCTGAAAACCCACCCCAGAATTCTGATTCACCAATTAAATCGTTTACCTCTTACGTGCCGTGACATCATGTTTTTTTACCCGCCGTTTGCGCGTCGCGTAAGTCTTACACAGTGCAGTTGACCTCTCCACCTGATGAATTAGCTAAAATGTCGCTGCTCTAGTCATTACACAACTCCTCTTTCTTTCAGCGAGACCGACCTCCCTTCCTTTGGCTGTGGGAGTGTCTGCCTGCCATTCAGGGATTAACTATGGGAATATCCCTTGCCGACGTATTCTTTGCGGTGCTGCTGTGGCACTGTGGGCGGCAAATGCGCGGACCGTGGCACCTATCGGCCGGCAATCGATGGGACGGCATGTTACCCGGTAATCCATGCGACGGCGCGCAGATTTCCATAGGCTGCTATGAAAGCGATCTCCTCACTCAATATCTGGAGCTGCACTGCGGCTTCGCCATACTGGCCACGGCCGGCCTGCAGCTCACCGTGGGGATCATCCTGTTCTTGTACCCTCGATTTTTCTTGGCGCTCTGGCTGCATCTTCTCTACAACTTGTGGCATTTCTCTACCGTGGATGCGGTGGTATACAAGTTTCTAGTGGAAATGATGGCCCTTCCGTCTTTCGGTTTAGCGGTGGTCGGCCTGATTACTGCGCACCGGTGTCGCTCCATGATTCTGCAGTTTCGACGGATCTTTTGGACCGAGATGCGTGTCAGTGTTGACTTTAATATGTCGCTTTTCACGGCGTGGTTAATTGGGAATTTGTCGGTGCTTTTCTATCCCGTGCGCCGCATTATGCGTGACCGTCGTTCATTTTGGTCGGTCATTTGGATGTTGTCTCTGATCTTCGGTGGCGACGAGGAGTCTTCAGTGTTGGCGACTAAGCACTAGCCTCAAATCTGCCGGTGTGCTGCGATTCTTTTCAACGATCTGGTCCGTCCGATAATTTTCGACTAGTCCCGTCAGATTAGCGATTTAAAAGTTACTGTAGCCGCCCGCACAAGTTGCTCCACTGGCAGATCCGGCAGTTGCCTTCTCCCTGCATACGCTGCGCTGAACAGCGGGCAATAAATGTGGGAGGGGGGGGATATCCGTATACCTCACTCTGTGGAGCAACTTGTGCGGGCGGCTGCAGTATTAGTTTTTGAAGTTTTAAGGTCAACATTCTGCAGTCTGATTTTTTAGTCGGGTCGTTCTATGTTTTTCAGTAATGGTAATAATTTGCTATCATCACATAAAATAATTCTGTACAGATAGATCTATAAAGCTTACGTCGTCGGATGCTTTGGTCTTTCCCAAACATGCATAAGGCAGTCCAGGAATCGAATTGATATCTGTAGTAGTATACCATACGGCGTGCGGTAACGTTGCCACTGATCAAACACTATTTTGCTAGGCTGTGAACTAAGACACTGGCTGCTTCTCGTAGTGCGCTGTCATAATATTAATTTCCAATCAGTGTATCTGTACAGTACAAGGGCAGCGATTTTAGAACACGGAGTAGTGTAAAGGTTATTTACGCTACAGGCATGGCCGAAGAAATACCCGAATTCCGGAGAAATTTGATGACAAACCAAACTCGAATCACAATATTAAAAACCAACGCAACGTCCTTTTTATCATCTGTTAATTTACGCTACAGGCATGGCCGAAGAAATACCCGAATTCCGGAGAAATTTGATGACAAACCAAACTCGAATCACAATATTAAAAAACAAAGCAACGCCCTTTTTATCATCTGTTAAAGCTTACTTTTCCAGAACAAGTTTTGAAGTGTTGACAGTTTTTGCATTAGTTGAACAGTTTCCGGTAGAAAACGAGTGATTAAATTTAGTCGGTCTCAGTTATGCTGTACTTCTATATAAAGACATTGACATTGGCATTGGCTGTTTGTTGGCCTTCTTAAGGTCACTCCTATCGGAATCTTGTACACGGCTTCGGAATGTATATCCTTAACTTAAAGCTGAATGCACTTAGCATATTCGCAGGACAACAAAAACTGACCAGTGACCGGAAGCAATTTTAAATCAGCAATAACGCTCCCACCTTGCAGTACAAGGACGGGGATGACGGGATAACGAGTGCACCTTTTGGTAAATCGAGTTACCCCCATTACATAAATCTATGACCGCTTACCACCGAACTGTAAAAATGAAACAACAAGAGTGTAAGATATTCAAATGCCTAATATGTTTCAGCTATGTACAGTATGTGTTACATGTTCAGCAACTTCATGTATGTGTTATACTTATCATAGGTTAAAGCCAAAGGGTAACTCGACTTAAATAAAAAGAGTGGGTGCTTTCGTGTAGCTTTTTCACAGTCACCTTGAGCTCACTGTCCGACCGTCTCCGGCATCTGCGTGACACACAGGAAGAATTCTTTACAAAAAAACAGCCGCTTGATTGCAACAAAGTACAGTGTCTTTTCTCTTTATTGGGCAGAAGCCATCAATACAACAAAAAGTGCATACGCTGAATACTACGCAAAATGCTTTACTGTACATCTAAACATTATAAAAACAACCAAAATCGTTAGCGCTATCAGTCATTTTAGAACGCATACTTCAAAAGTACTCAGAGTGCCCAAAACAGCAGCAGCATTTCCTTTTACAACAGCTAGGCTAAATCTCTGCTTTAAAAATGCAGTAGAACGGGGCTGCCCTTTGGCGTCGTTACTTTATCTTAATTTATCAAGGTACCGGTAGTTGTTTGGAACGCATCCTCAAACAAACGAATGAAGAGTAAAGCAAAAGCAGCATCGGGTGCTAACTATCATGAGAACAAAATCTATTTCCTTGATGTATCGAAATGTAAATGGTCATCGTACCTATAGAACGGATGCCTCATTTCCATTATCAATCTGGAGAGACATCGCTGTCAGCTGACGTAGGTAGACGTTCTCGTGTGAGCAGGGTTCAATCGGCTCATTTTCTCCGCCTGTAAAGCAACCGGTGCCGCTTTCGCGGAGCGTTAATAGAGGAGAGAGACTATGGTGAGAAAACGAGATCAACATCGATGCAAAAGGAGCTCCTGGCATTGCATAGCTTTCATAAAAGGGCAACAAATCCGGAAGACTCAAATTATGACAGTCTAATGGTAGATCCAGAATGGATCCACAGACGGAGACAGAAACGGAATCTATCCCGTGGAGTGAGCGACACGATCTGGGTCGCGAGCTATGCGGAAACACAAAACGTCGCACCGTAATCGCTGACTTTTAATAATATTGAAAATTCCGACAACAGAAAATCAACACTGATCGGCGCAGCTCGATCGTAAAGCGTGAGCCCATTCAACAGCGTGCAACGCTGTGCAGCACGCTATGCCGCGCCCACTGACAAAACACAAACCAATCAGAAGCGAGACACAACACAGGCCATAATCCAAAGGCGTAGCGCCTGGCATACTGACGCGTGAACGCTAGTGATCCCGGTCTCACATGCCTCTGGGGGATGCCGAGCTCCTGTGAGGCTGGACACACTCCCGAATCCACGAAAAGACGGTCGCCAGTGTCTGTGTGTGCTCGAAAACATCAAATTCTCTTATTCCATTTATCACATAATTCCAAATGCACAATGTGAATAAAGAGATCTGTATCAAAATACTATTCCATATCAAATCTAATACAAAACAGATCAACAGTTAAAAGATCAACAAAAGTATTAATCAAAAGTAGACTAGGATCCTCCATTTCTGACTCGTATAGGTCACAGGTCCTGTCCACCGTTTTCCGCACTTTGGCCCATTCCGCTCCGTTGAGCAACTTCGCGCATCCATAATGCGACTTCCATCACAATCCGCTTTGAGAATCGGGTGCGTATCAAGTACGACTTAGGAATACTGCTTCATCTTTGGAATATGGTGCGTATCAATTGTACGACTTCAAAATGAGATCCATAAAGGTCATGGAGGGACGTCAATGAAGACAAGCGTAGTTCGCTTCCTCCCTAGTAAAGGTCATCCTTTGTTAAGACAATCCGTTGAGATGTGCGACTCAATTTGGGTTAATGATCCCAAAGGTCATGCGACTTGAATTCCATTATGGTGACTCTGTTGGGCAATTGATGATCCCAAAGGTCATCCCACTCGTCAAAACTTCCATTAAAGGCCATGGAGGGACTTAGCCAATTTTCTGCGGCTTTCAAGCACTTCTTCGCTTGCCTCCCTGGTAAAATTTGCAGTTTGACCTTTCTGTCGCACATCCAACTTCAGTATGCCTCGAGCGGCCAGAGTGCCGGCAAAGTTTACCGTAGCATCTCTGATGGGGCCGGCTAGTTACCGCATTGAGTTTACCCCATGACGCTTCCACATTAAATCTTTTACTCTTGTTCGCCGCTTGTGGCCCAGCTTCCGTACGAGAGATCCGGCTTGATTACCGTTATTTCTCTCGTTAAATTTTGACACTGAGTCGATTAAAGAGATTGCCGGCATGTTTACCGTAGCATCTCCGATGGGGCCGGCTAATAGACCGAATCAATTTCAACCCCATTAATATTTCCACCTGTTGTCTTTCTCTTTTTCGCCGCTTGTGGCCCCCTTTTGTCTTCAAGAGATCCGGCTTGGTTACCGTAGTTTCTCTTGCCGATTTGTAACACTGAGTCGCTTAAGGAGGAGAGCCGGCTAACTGCCGTAACTACTCCCTTGGGGCCGGCATTATAGACCGAATCAATTTTAACCCCAATCGATGCTCCACATGATTTCTTTATCCTTTGCGGTTCTGTGCTATAAACGCTGAAAACAACAAATACACAAATACAGTTTATGTAGACAAGTCATATCGCCCTCATATACAACACCATTTTTCATTTTTGTGACGTACCGACAAATGCCGTAGACGTCCTTTTAATAGTGTGATCCTAACGACCAACACTATTCCATTTCATTTGAATCATCTTCGCCGTCTCTCTCGGCGGACGTTTCTTAGTGCTTTCCGGTTGATTACGGTCAGATGTTCGGTCGACTGGTTCTGTTGAATCAACCGCCATGACCTTTTCCGGATCAACTTCTCGCTGACCGCGACCTTTCCCTTGGCGGCTTCTCTTAATCGCCTCCACTTTATGGCGTGCATCGTGTTCTTCTAACCGTAGTCTTCGGTTATTAGGGTCATCCGCCAATCGACGCTGCACGTCGGCGAGATTATCCCGAAGCTGTTGGTTTCGGATGCCGCGTCGTCCCATTTGATTAGGAGCGCGTTCTGGGCGTCGGTCGCCTTTATTGACCAGAAATTCGTTAACGTAAAGGTCTACTCCGTCCACTGGTTCGACGTAGTCACTTCCCATGGTATCTTTAATCCGGTTGATCCGCTCTTCGACTTGGGAGGCATGGCGCGCTGTAAGATTGCCTTTCTCCATTCGTGTTCTACACTTCTTCAACGCTTTCCGAGCCGTGTGGGCTATGCCGACATGTTCCATAGGTTCTCCCAACTTAACGACATGAGGCCGGAAAAATGCCGGGATATCGTCCTTCATTGTATTAGACACCAATTGATTTTGTGTCTTATAATGTGCCAGTCTCGCGGCGAAGACCTTTTGCCCCATCCTTTTGCGGCATAGTCTTTCGGGTCCACACTTGTAGTCCAATCGATGCTCAGCTGCGAGAGCAACTTGAAGGCCGGATTCACGTGTCGTAAAACGAACTGAGCCACATATTCCTGTCGTTCATCGTAGTCTGTGTACCAGGGTGTCGTACCGACTGGGTCAGTCGTGTCCAATGGCACATCCAATAAACTCAAATCCAACAAACTGTGTAATCCGTTTCGTCGGATGGGGAGATAACAATCTCGCGCGGAGTCGCGAGGAATGAATAACCGACGGAAAAGTCCTTGTTCCACTCCTTGTTTAATCTCTCTCGCATAACCCGAGTCAAGTAGGAATTGGCTCAACTGTCTCAGAATTGTGCCAATTTTGTTGGCTTCAACCGAATCCGGCTCAAGTCCAAAGTATCGACAAATTTCGACCGTTTGCTCATCGATATCAGTCGTCTTATATTCCATGTCAATACTTTCTGGTTGTCGGTTATTAAATCTGGAGTTTAATCGCTGATTCCC